TAACACGTTGTGGGGATCAGAGATATATGAAAGAATAACGAAGGGTGCTCTTAAGACAGTATTTGTATTCCCTCTTCCCTGGGCACTAAACCTTTGTTTGATCCATTGAAATAACCAAGCAGGATAGAACTAAACCGGGAAGCACAGTGCTGTGTTGCTTAAAAGAAACAAAACACATAATAACAGGGTGTAAAAATCTAGTAACAGGACCCTTCAGCAAGAACTGTTGTTGCAGCAAAAGGAGAGTTGAGAAATACTTTGGTCAATTACCCCTTGTAAATTATTCCCCTACTAGCAGCTTGAACAGAACATCATCACTGCAGAGCTAAGAAAAGCTTGACAATACAATGCGCATTGTTGGAGCTGATTTAACTACATTGGATGGCTGCAATTTTATGTGTCCCATATCTTGTAAACAGTAGTAGTAATGATAATGGGCATAATAAATCCATTCCACACAGGTCATTTGCAGCTGCCTGTGGGCAACTAGAGAAAGAAAAGAATGAGCACTGTATTTGCCAGCACTACAAACAAGTGATTTGAACTAAGGCTGAAACATACAAGAAAGACAGGGAAGAAATGTTCAATTCTTTTTCAAAAACCTCCAGTTTATGAATGTGGAATATTGTCCTTCTGTAGCCATGATTCAAAAAGCCAGGAAATGATCTAATATTCCTGCCAAGCTTTACCTAGCCAAGGGCAGCCTGAATGTTGACAACATCCATGGCACCAGTCAAGATGGTCACTCTACAGGATATCATCTTCTGCTCACTTCCATTCACAATGTGACACCAAGCAAGGGGAAATCAGACTCCTTTTTTTCCAATCAGTTAACCAGTCCTTAGCCAAACACAGAGCAATTAGGGCTGTTTTTCAACAAGTGTGAATGGTAGTGAGCACAAGACGGTGTCCTCTAGACCAGTGGTTTCCTTGGGTTCTCAGATGTTCTTGGACTACAGCTAGTGGTGAGGCTTCTGGCAGTTTTAGTCCAAGAATTCCTGATGACCCATGGTTGGGAGCCACTGCTGTAGACCATCTTGACTTTTGCCTTTGGTGTTGTCAACATTCCGTCTGCCCTTTGCTATGTAAAGCTTGGCATACTTTTTCCTACTGGCAATGTCAGCAGCATATTGTGCAGCAATATTTTTTGGCATTTCGAATCATGGATACAGGTGCACAATGTCCCACATTAATAAATCAAAGGGCTTTTTTTGAAGAATGTAATAATATCCATTGACACAAACAGGATTTGCAAGACAACTGGGCATATTTCTCAATGACTACATAATGTAGTCTACGTGATAAATTATGTAAGAAAAACAGTAGCAGCCACCACAACACTGCACCAATACATAAGGTTAGGCTAGGAACATCCAGTCCACAATTAATTCCTTTAATTCCCTATCCCCTTCCTTGGGCCCTGGAGAGAAATTTTAAACTGCATATGCTCTGGTGACACACAGCTTAGGTCACATGCTGCTCCGAGCAATGTTATACTATGCATGCATGAATGCCAAACTGAATCAACTGACTCACATCTCTTGGCCACCTTGTACTTGGCAGGCCATACATAATGAGGTTGAGGTCAACACAATGGGCTGCAAAGACTCACAGATGAGGCTATATTTGCCCTCCAATTCTACCCTGTGAGCAAGCCTGCTTTAAAGTAAACAAACACTGAGACTTCCTGAGGTTCCAGACAAAACCAACCAAGGCTAGACCACTTGATTTTTTTCCAAAGTTAGATGCTATAAGAAAAGTGAGAGCCACTGGAGGCTTTTTTCCCCTACTAAAGGAACAGCTACAAAATTTACTAAATCTCTCTGCTTCACATGATTACCCACCTCCCCTAAGAAAGCAACCATTTTTAAGATACAAAAACCACTAGGCCAAAAGTGATCCTATGGAATATCTTAACTTACTTTATTTCTGGTAAAGGAATTATGCTACCGGTTTACTGAAATTTACACACAAACACAATAAATGTAACTTGCTTGTGGGCTCAGATAGTTGTTGGAATACATCCAAACTAGAAATAAGGAACAATATTTTTGGGTATTCCCCCTTCACTTACATTGTTGTTCTGTATTGTCAAATTGTTTCCAATTTATAGTAGGGTTTTAACAATATGTGAGCTATTCAAGGAATGGTTTACTATTGCTGTGCTGCAGCAAGCTTCCGTGGCCAGATGGGAATTTTAATGTGGGTCTTCTGAGTCCTAGTTCAACACTATAACAGTACCCTGGCTCCCTGTTCATTTACTTTATGTTATTTGGACTTATATCTCGCCCCTCTAGACAAAGTCTACTCATGGTGACTTACATGAGTGATAAAATACAATACAATAAAATACAATACAATAACATACATAATAATAAAACCTACTAACAGATGCATATATAGATGCATACATATATTTACATTTCACTGTACACATTATATATATAATGTTATATGCCTATATGGTGTATGCAGTATTTGTTTAGCACTTTCTCTGGGTCAGGTTTACAGCAACAGAGTCAGAAATGTCTAAGATGCAACAGGATCAAAAGTTCAATAGCAAATGAAAGCATACGTCTCTCTTCAACCATGCTAGGGAATCCGTGTATAATTCTTATGCTCCCCAAAATCCAATGAAGGGACAGAAAAAAGCCTCTATCATAGGGGACAAAAGAAGGTGCGATCTCCTCCCCCTGAAAAAGTTTTCTGCTTTTACTTTCCCCAACCCATGTCTGCCTCTTGGCATGCCCCAGCACCCTCCTTGGCTACCATGTGAAGCTGCCATGCCAAAAACAGGGGCCGGTGGACCCACTGAGCTCCTGATAATGAGAGCCTCAATAAGTCCAAGACCCACATTCTCAGGCCAGTTCCTAGAGATGAATAGCAGCACCACATCTATCTATCTATCTATCTATCTATCTATCTATCTATCTATCTATCTATCTATCTATCTATCTATCTATCTATCTATCTATCTATTTATTTATTTATTTGGGGGGGAACATGTGTAACCAAAACTGTGTTGCTCAGACCTGTGCTATTCAAGGGAGAAGTATAAAGTAAGCAAAGTCATGTTGAAAGGAAATATTTTAAAGTTAGACTGTAGTCTCTAACATTACAACTAGTATGAGTTTCAGATTTTCAAAATAATAATATTGAGTCTCAATGGGACACTATACAGACAAACCTGTCTGTCTGCTCTCCCCTGAAAACAAAAAAAGGGAGAAGGGGAGTCTCCCATTTTTAGGATTAAATAGATAAAGGCAGATGTATTGGCCCATTTTCCCATAGGCATTTCAGGTGAGTCTATGGCTTATATCAGAGCTTGGCCTGGGAGACATTATATGGATATTTAATTATGTATTTTATCAACTCACTGTATTTTTTGCTCTATAAGATGCACTTCCCCCCCCAAAAAGTGTGGGGGAATGTTCTGTGCATCTTATGGAGAGTGGAAGGCACTCTCAGACTCTTTGGAGGCTTCCCCCACCCTCACCCCCGCTGGCCCAGCAGACCGAAATTCCCAGATTTTTTTTCCTGTTTTCTTCTCCTAAAAATTTGGTGCGTCTTATGGAGAGATGCGTCTTATGGAGCAAAAAATATGGTATATGCCATATTTCCATTAAAAAAATCAGCTAAAACATTAAATCTACTTTAGACAGGTAAAAAAATAAATAAACCAAATTGAAGAATAAACTGTCATAATCATGTCAATCAATGCAACTAAAATCATCAACATGATCAGTAAAACAATTTAAAAGGAAACTTAAAGAGGCATGCATTTGCAGCTTTCATAAAAAACAAGAGTGCGAACTGACTGCAACTCTGAGAGGAGTTCATTCCACAGTCAAGAAGCAGCACGCTCCTTGAAAGCTGGTCTTAGTAGGCAGCAGGAATCTCAAGATGTACCATAGAAGACTGGAGGACAACATTCTCTATCTCCTGAAATGGGGAAAGTTACTTTTTGCATTACAACAGTCACCAGGCTGGTGGCCCATTCGGTGAGCTGTAGTCCAATAAAATAACTATTCTTATTTTTGCATAAATGTGTTTCAGTCCAGTGGTAATGGATGCTTCATTCATTGTTTACAAAGGATTCTAACTCCAACTAACTGCCCTCTTCTGAGCTGGCAGGGAACACACTGGAAAGCTGTGCTGTCTTCAGCAATCTTTACTGCCTTCCTCTTCCCCAAAAACTTAACAGGATCCCACGTTAGCCTAGATCTATTCTTCAGAAATGAAAACTGCAGGTAGGTGGATTCTTCCTGGCCCTTCACACTGAAAATGTTCTTCACCAATCATTTAAATTTCTATTTTACAAAAAATAGTTGGTAGAAGAAGAAAAAATCAATGAAAGGTCCTCCAGTGATACTGCCTTGTGCATATGGAGTAGACATGAAGAGCAACAGGGATGTGGAGAGTAGCAGGGAATAATGGAGAACCAAAGGGGGCATTGGATGTAGGAATGTCAGGAGAAAGAGAAGTCTGAAGTGGGAGCTGGATCTCATGATGTAGGGTCTTCCATGCAGTTGGGATTTCTGATCACATAGAGCTTCCAGACACATGGTGGAGGCTTCAGGAATACAACTGGTTTGGCCTTCAGGCCATCCCTTAATAAAAGAATGGGGGGAGGCACTTTCCCAAGAATCAAATTCAATTCCAGAGATGGGCTGGGAACCACATTCCAGTGGTAGGCAGGGCCAAAAGCAGAAAAGTGGGACAAAAAAATGACAGAATATTTGAGCTTACTGCCAGCCGCTAGCTAAGCCTTAGGTGAGGCATTCCTTTTTTTTTTTTTTAGAATGGAGAAGAATGCCCATGTAAAAGCCAGGGAAGGGAACACAACCATCTCTGGACCCCGGATAGACTCCAGGATGGTTGCATTAGACAACAATGCCACTGGACACCCACCAATGTCTTAAAGGTTGCTTTAATGCTCTGTTCTTCTTTTCCTTCTAGAAGTTTGTGAGAATATACATGAGCTCTTTGCTCCATCTTACCTGGTCTCGCCTTGGTTGATGCAAAGATAAATCTCCCAGGACATATCTTCAGGAATAGCCCCATGAGGAATCAGCAGGCTAACTCCTGGAACAGAACAGCAACAAAATTTACCAGGAGACATTCTAAATCTCTGCTTGTTCGAGTCTCAGGACACTGTCTGCCTAAAAGAAGATAATAGCTTGACTATGCCCTTGTAATAGATGAATCATCACCATCATCTTGAATGGTATTAACATTCCAATTTATAATCATTGGTTATATGCACAGGATTTTTAATGCAATCACTCTTCAAGGTCTCAGATAAGATTAGGTTTCTGTTGTGTGAAGCATTCAGAACATACAGGAGAGAAAGTACCTCACAGACTACAGAAGGAACACTTGAATTAGTGTGGGGAAATCGGCAGAGCCACGTTCAGTGCTGAATTACAAAGATGCAGAAACAAACAAGCAAAGAAATAAACATCTCAGAAATGTGCACAGGTTGTCTGTAGCACAGTCAATACTTCTGCAAATCTCTTCTGTGTGACTAAGCTCTAAGACGTCCATTACTGGATTTAGTGTTGTCTCCAGTATTTCTCAGCAGGAAGCTGTCAGAGCTCGATAAAGAACTGGTTGTGAGTAAACAACATGGAGGTGCAGCTAGTCAGTAGAAGGCCAGGCTTGTGGATTGGGATTCAGCCTGTTCCAGAATGGGTTGCACTCACCACGATAGGTCAGGTTCATAGTCTGGGAGTATTCCCACATTTCCTGGATTTCCAGATAAGCAGTGTCAAGTGCCTTTGCACAAGTCTGCTTAATGTGCAGCTCTGACCTTTACTTATTCAATTTGCCTTAGAAATAGTCATCCACACCTTAGTTACGTTGTGACTTGACTACTTCAAAAAGGGTCTGGAATATTCACTCCATACAACAGGCATCAGTTAGCCTCCTAAGTACTGCAGAGTTTCCTATCACATGACTGCAGAAATGAAAGGCCTGTATTGGTTGCCAGTTGCTTACTGGACCCAGTTCAAGTTGTTGATTTTAATCTTGGATGGGTTAGACAGCTTGGGCCCTAATTATCTCAGGGACTGCCTTTCGTGTTACGAAATTTTCCAGAGGCTAAGCTCTTCAAAGGTGGCCTTCTTGAAATTACAGAGGCTTAAAAATACAGAGGCTTGCCTAACAGTCATGTAAAGCAGGGCTTTCTCCTGCGTGGTTCCAGACAGTGGAATGTGCTTCCCTCAGATCTGCAAACAGTTCCGATGTTGTTTGTTTCTAGGAAGAGTTTGTAGACACGTGTTTTTTAAATTAATTTATGATATTCTTAAATTATTTTGAGGATTTCAACTACAGTGGTGCCTCGACTTACGAGTGTCCTGACATATGACCATTTCGAGTTATGAACAGCTCCAGCCACAAAATTTTGCTTCTACCTGCGACCAGAGCTTCGAGTTATGAACAGAAAAAAGGCAGGGAAAAAGGCAGGGAGTTCAAATTGCTAACCATTGGTGGTGAAGAGGCTGCTTCTTTGTAGCTCTTTTGCCCTAGCAGTTAGAGAGTGTGTGATTGGAGGAGGCTTCAGACTGTCTGGTAAGGTAAGGTGCTGCTTTCTGCTTTTTAAAAGCTGTTCTGGGTGAGTTTTGTAGCAGGTTGCGGCTGGGGGGGTATGTTTCTGTGCTGTGATGGGTCTTGCAGTCTTTGTTTTTTGGGTTTTTCCTCCCTCATTTCCAAAGGGTCTTGCATGGTTTGTTTGCTTTCTTTTTTCCTTTGGCAGGAACAGATTAATTACGTTTCCAATGGGTCTTGCACGGTTTATTTGCTTTTTGCTTTGCTTTTTTTGCATTTCCGAAGGGTCTTGCATAGTTTGTTTGCTTTGCTTTTCTTTTTTTCCTTCAGCTAGTATGGATTAATCACATTTCCAGTGTTTTCTGGGGGGGAGTTGGTGATTTTTTTTATTCAGGTGGAACGGATTAATTCTATTTCAATGCATTCCTATGGGAAATGGTGTTTCGACTTACAACCATTTTGAGTTACGACCGGAGTTCCGGAACCAATTAAGTTTGTAAGTCAAGGCACCACTGTATTTGTTGATCTAACTGATGGTAATGGTTATTATGGTCACGTTTAGTTTTATTTCATTTTAATGATTCTTTATTTGAATTACATTTTACTGTTTTTTAATGAATCTTTATATTTATGTTATATCTAAATATTGAAAGCTGCCTTCATCACTGCCTACTAGTGGAGTGGTGAACACATAGAAAGGATAGAGAGAGATTATGATATGACAAGTTGATACAGCAGCAAGCACACAGGTACCACCTGACCTGTTACACTTGTCAATTTTAAACACCGTCAATCTAGAGTCTGTTTAGGAGAAGGGGTGACATTTGGGCTAAATAAGGCCCCACATGAAGAGTTCAATAAAGCCCTACCCAGGGGTTCTTAATGAACATGCGCAGTGGGAGATCATGTAAATCCTGCAACAACACTCTTATCCTGTGGAGAAGAACAACATGATGCACAGGACTCTTCATGTGATCTAGAACTCTGAAATCAATCAGTCAATCAATCTACTTATGAGATGCCCAGCACACAACAGGCACTTTATTTGTTATATTAAATATATACATTTTAGAGTCACGGAGTTGCCCAATTTGTGGCTTTTGCTGGTACAGTATATTAAATATACACATTTTAGAGTCACTGAGTTGCCCAATTTGTGGCTTTTGCTGGTAGGATTAGATCCAGATTTAAGAATGAAGTGTTGAATTGGACAACTGTAAGGATGTTGTAACATAAAGAGCAAGCCAGAGGATAATAGAAAGGCCAAGACACGGACAAGGAGTATGGGCAACTGCAACAATCCTGTAATTTTAAAGGGGAAAGTAATGGTTAATATATAAAACCAGTGTGCCTTGAATAATAACAATAAAAAGAATAATATGATTTAGCCATGCATCCCTACTTTTTTTTCAAATTGTTCTGAGCTCCCAGTATCTTAATAACTGCTCACATTGTCAAAAAAATAATTTTGCTCTGTTTTAGGGTGGACCTTTTTTTAAATGAGAAATTTAGAATGTTACTTATTGAACTATAGATGCCTTAATTCCCCAGGCTGAAGTTTGAAACACAGTTTTCAAATTCATAAGAAAGTGAATGGGTAAAAAAACAATGATTGAAAAGCTGCAGAAAGCCTATACAGTGGTGCCTCACAACACAAATGCCTTGCGCAACGAAAAACTCGCAAGACGAAAGCGTCTTGTGAGTTTTTTGGTGATTCACAAGAGGAAAAATTTTTTTGTCTTGCAAGGCATGGTTTCCCATAGGAATGCATTGAAATTTAATTAATGCATTCCTATGGGTGAAAAAAAGTCAGGAAAACAAGTCAGAACAAAGTCACTTACAGTACCAGGTACTGTAGACTGAGTCCCGCTCCTCACGGTGCCTAGATAGCCCTGGAACAGCCAAACTCTGTGACCAGAGCGCCAAACAGCTGAGAGGTGGCAGCCACTTTGTGGTCATCTCCGCTCCCCACCCCCCGCCTCTCAGATGTTTGCTGCTGGGTCTGAGGCTTTCTGGGGCTTGCCCAGCATGGAAAAAGGCAGGGGGAAAAGCGCCTGTCACATACAGCACTGATGGTACCTGTCTGTCATGGGTTTGGAGGGAAAGTTCCATCCTATGGGGAGTGGAAGGCGGGACATCAGGGGGGAGGAGCTGTACTGTATATATATGTGGAGCTTGTGTGGAGAGTTAAGAGTTGGAGTCTGTGTGTCAGACTGGGTACAACTGTGTGTCAGTTAGTACATACCTGATAGGTTCAGGTTTCTATTTAGGTAGCCAGAACTGATAGGTTCAGGGTCTGTGCGTTACCTTAAAGGGTTCAGTGGGAACCAAGCTGTTGTATGTGTGTGATTGGGGCTATGCCACGTTACATTATCCTATTTACCTGATTCTTTTATTTACCCTGTTTGTTAATTCAATAAACCTTGTTCTTTTATTTATCAAAATCCATTCCTGGT